AGCTGGTGGCATTAGCAGTGCCAGCTGCTGCAGGTGCCCTGCACCAGGCAGTGTTCAGCACTGAGGCACAGATCCCAGCTGAGGAGCTGCCTGGCACTGGGGCACCTCAGCAGCTGCAGGATAGAAGCGAACTTGGTCTAGGACCCTTGGAGTTCTGCTGCTGCAGCAGCTGAACAGGGACTGCCCAGTGGGAACATGCAAGGAAAGAGGCAGAGAGTTGAACAGAAGTCTGACTGTGCTGTGTGTGCTGCAGAGCTGTGCTCATGGGGGAGCTGCTTTTGCACTGTTGATAATCAGATCTCACTGCCTTGGGCCCATCCTTACAGGAACAGGCCTTGCTGTTGTACCACAGATGAAGTTGGTGCTGTCAGCTCTGCAGCAGCCTGGAACAGGGAGATGATCTGAACATTTGCTGTCTCTTGGCAGGTACATTGTACTGACAACCTCAGCTGGCATCATGGACCATGAAGAGGCGAGACGAAAACACACAGGAGGCAAAATCCTGGGATTCTTTTTCTAAAACTTGTAAAAAAAGAGGATACTAATAAATTGTTCAAATGGACTCTGGTGTTTCCAGTCAGTATTTTAATGACTTCAAACACTGCCTGTGATAGTGCTTGTAACAGCTCTTCAATAGTGCTTGAGTTCCAGCTTCACTTCAAATGATATTCGTGTTCCACACCATCCCTGGTCACAGTTCTGTTTCTGATAATGATAAAATGTACTTGTAAAAGTTACCACTGGAGTGGCAGTTTGGGGTCACTGTACAGGAGAGCCTCAGCAGGGGACTCTAATGCTGAACTAATGCTAATCCCTGCATGGGCTCACCTCACAGTGTTCAGTACATGTGTCTCCACAGTCACCTGTGTGTGATTCCAGAGTTTCACCTTTTGGCTCAATAATAGAAGATACCTTGCCAGAAGGTATTTCCTGTTTATGGTTAAAAAAATTGTGGAATTCTGGAATAATTAAAATGGTTAAGGTTTTTATTTCAGATCACAAACTTGTTCCATATCATACAGTAAATGGATTAACTGAAGTTGGGAGGTGAAAAACAATTCTTTTCCTTCAAATTTTTATTTTGCAAGTGTTTTGAAAGAAATAGGGTGGATTAGTTCCCATGCAGCTGCTTTGTAAGTTGGGACAAAGAAACAACTGTTTGGGATTTCTTTATGTTTTCAGAGAGAGGAATTAAGGTTGTCTGAACCTAAAGGTAGGGAATATTTAGTATTGAATCAGTCGGTGTTTGCTTCAGGTGTGTGACAGCACAGTGTCCTTGATGCAGAGCCATCAGATGTGTTTCCAGGAGTACATGGAGCAGGACAGCTTGGTGGAGGATGGGAAGCAAGCTTGCATTGTTCAGCCCAGCTGGAACTGCCCTGCCTTGGTTCACTTTGGAGTCTCAGCAGGAAGGAGTCTTTGGAAATGCAGCAAGTGTTTCAGCACACTGCAAACCAGCTGGTGAATCTGTGGTTCTGATACAGACAGGTGGAAACCAAGTTTTCCTTCTTGCTGATACATCCCCATGCCCTGTGTACAGTTGCTTTAGCTGGAAGTGTTGTGCCTGGAGGTGATACTTCACAAACCTTGGCTTGGAAGGTCTGAACTCAGTAACTGTAACCTCTCTCCCTTCAGT